AATTGTGTTTTCTTATTTTAAGTGTAAAGTCTATTGTTCCATTGGCAAAATGTCTCTTTTACCTCCTCAATTCAAGGACAAATGCACTTATTTTAAGAAAAAATGGCTTATTTTTCCAGTACATTCCATTTGCAGATCATCATATTTATCTACTCAAATTAAGGGGAAATACATTTAATTTCAGAAATTTGTACTTATTTCTAGATCGTTTTTGCAGTGTTTGAAGTTTTGAGAAGAAATTAACATATTATTCTTAGAGAAACTGCAAAAGAAACAGGATACTCTTGAAAAATGATACATTTCTACCATTTCAGACAGAACAAAGCTGGTTGGGATGGGTCTCTAAAATAATAGAATGGCAACATGATCTCTGTTTGCAAAGTTAACCAAACAAACCATATCAGCACAAACAAATCATAATGATGGAACTGATGATTTGGGTTTGCCCTGCAGGGAAAAAACAAGTAAAAATGTCTTAAATTAAGCATATTTACCCTTAATATGAGTAGGTAAATAGGATGATCTGCCTATGGAATGAGCATTTTTACTCTTAAAATGAGTTAATTAGATAATATGCACTTGAAATAAGACAATGCAATTGTGTTTTCTTATTTTAAGTGTAAATTGTCTTGTTCCATTGGAAAAATGTGTCTTTTACCTCCTCAATTCAAGAAGAAATGCACCTATTTTAAGAAAAAATGACTTATTTAGATTTAGATTTTTTGCAGTGAGGACTTCAGCTGCTTGAAGTCCTTGAGTTCACTTTTAACTCCATCATCTAGCAAATTCCACTGGAGTGAAATGTGAAGCTCAATGATCCCAAAACAGAGCAGCAAATTGGACTAAAGAATGAAAACGGTCAAAGTTTAGCAGCGGATCAATCCGTCTGAAATTCAAGCTAACTGAAAAGCGGTGGTGGAACGTGAAACATAAGCGCAGCAAAAAACTGCAGCTTGTGGTTCAATAACTAAATAAAAGACAGATGGAGTCCAGCAGAGATGCTATAGTGGGTTGGTTCTAGAAAATAAAATATATCCCTAATAGTTATTGATTGTGTATTATGGTAGTAGGGACATTTAAATAAACAGGCTAAATTTAAATAAACTAGAAAAGTCATGTTTGTTATTAGGAAAATACGTCCTTTGCTGCTTTACTGCATTTTATAACCTTGAACTTTGTGGAGCTAAAAAACAACAAGAAAGGTGGAGGGAAGCTGGAATGGTGGTGATGCTTGTTTTTTTTTTTTTGTCTATTCAGAGCAGCTCTGACATCAGTTGGTATTTCCCCCTGAGCTCAGCAGTTTTTCAGGGGCCTGTTTGGCTGCCAGGGGAGGGGGGCCCCGTGGGTCACTGCTCATCTTTCTATCTGACAGAGAAAAAACAAAAAGTTCCTTCTCTCTCCGGCACAAAGAGACTCTCAAAGCCTGGAGTAGAATCTGGCCCCGGCTATTGGAACTACCAAGTGCATTTTTCTTCTTCTCTTTGTTTGCTTTTCCACCACTTGACCCCAAGTAGCCTCCAGAAGACTAGAGGGTCTTTCACTAGAAGCCTAAAAGATATGTTTTCACCCAACATTTAATAAGTGGTAGTCTTAGAAAACATGAAACTACAAAAAAAATTGTACCACTTGTAGTTTATAGCCTTAGAGTGTGAGTATATGGTCAATCGTACATAAACGTATCTCTGTGTTTGCTAATGTAGCTTTCTTAGGTACAGATTCTATTTTCCACATCTTTATTTCACAATCTAAGCAGGCTGGATGTTTTCCTTCAAACGAATCTATTTAAAAGAAATACTTGAGATTCTTTTGGAGGCAGTTTTGTCCGCCTCCTTGCTGAGAGTTAGATGTGAGAATCAATCCCAGTCTTGTAGCCGTCTGTTTGCCACAAGGCTGCAGGCGGAGACGGCTTCGGCCAGCTGGAAAAAAGGAGAAACGGGTAGAAGCAGGTAGGAACGGTGAGAAACGGTTCTTCCTGTGAAGGAAAGAAATCAACAGTAGGTTCATTTCTCCCTGGCAGCCAAGTTAAATAGAAGAAGGATTCTTTTATGTTTTTTTTTTTTTTTTCATTTTTTAATACAAAAGTAAAAGATTTAAAAGATATTACAGCTCAAAGTTTGTACAGGATTTTTTAAATATCAAGCTGGCAAAACCATTTCTCCAAAAAAAATTTTTTTAAAGTAGTCCTTGAATTGTTTTACTTTTTCTCACTCTGGTACCAAACATATAAATATTAATCTGGACTTTGGCTAAGCCATTATAATAGATTCTATTTGATATAAACCATAGTATAGCAGGGTCCTGGCAGGTTAACCCCCACCTCACACTGCAAAAAACGATCCAGAATTAAAGATTTTCTCTAAATTAAGTGTATTTTCACTTTAATTTGATCAGTTAAATATGATGATCTGCAAATTAAATGAGTATTTTTACTCTTAAAATAAGATAATTAGATTAAATACACTTAAAATAAGACAATGCAACAGATTTTTCTTATTTTAAATGGAAATTGTCTTATTCCATTGGCAACGTTTCTCACTTACCTCCTCAATTCAAGACAAAATGCACTTATTTTAAGAACAATTCCTATTTAGATTGCTATTTTTTGCAGTGCAGGTTTAGTTTTTTGCAGCTTCGAACAGATTTTTACTCAGGATATATGTGTGTTTAGATCCTTATAACTACCTTGGAAATGGTTTTCATTGTATTGCTGGTTAGTTTTTATACTAATCACAGCATTTTACCTGCTGACTAATATAAGTCAGGGTTAGTTTCATCCGTTCAAAACATGCTCTTTACCGTGTTCTTGACCTTTTTTTTGTAAACTAAAGCCTGAAATGCATTAAATTTGTGAATGCAATTTAACATAACTCAGAATCTTCAAAAAGTGATGCTTCTGTGAGGCACGTTACAAAACCTTGAAGGGAAGACTTTCAAATATGTTGTTTGATTATAACTTCCATGCCTTCATTTGAAAAAGTATCTTCTGAGTGATTATTTTCAATGAAGTTTTGGCACCTGTCAACCCCTCCTTGAAACCTTGTTATTTATTTATTTTTTAATCCTGATGTAATTTTTAAAGATCAAGAAATGATGAGCATTTCCAGTGCAGCATTTCCTCCCAGATACTAACCTGACTGTTTCCCCTTGCCTGTGGTCACACAGTGTGTCTCTACGTGTGTCCAGGTAACAACTCTAATTGCAATGCTCTGACCCACGGGGACATGGTCAGCCTCGACGAAGGCCGCTTCCCCGCGCTGGAGCTCAACAACCGACGGCTGTCAGTGAAAAACTCTTTCTGTCGGAAGAACGGCGTCTACACCAGGTGAAGATCCTCTCTTTCTCCTTTAGGGTGTAATCACACAGGGAAAAAAACATTTTTAATTTCATAAAATATTTTATTGTTTCTTTTATAAATTCCTTGTGCAATATTTACTGTTGATCAATGTTACTACCTCCCTATTTTTTTACCTTATACATCACAAGAGCTGGAGATGGATTAGACATAGTTATTCTTCTAATTCCACCTTAAATAAGTTTAATTAAGTAAAATAGAATCTTACTAATGAATAACAAATCTCATATTTGGTCTTGTTTCATTACTAGTTGTGATCGACCTGTTTCAATCCATCGATCTCTTCATTCAGGGTTCCTGCGGGTCCTTAAAAAGTCTTAAAAGGCATTGAATTCTTTAAAATAAAACTAAGGCCTTAATTGGAGTTAAAATGTCTTAAATCAGTCTTTCTTTGGTCTTAATTTTTAAAATATTATAAATAGGATTATTTTTATTATGATTTATTTTTGTAATCTAAATAAAACATTAAAATTGACCTTTTCTTTTTATTTAGAGAAAATAATGGCTCGCCATTATTGGTTCCGTCCCGATAGCGGAACCAATAAAAGCGTTGTTGCGGCCGGGACATTTGGGAGATGCACCATTAACTTTTTGTCTTTTGTCAAATCCAATAAATGTAGATGGCTATTGTTCCCTAGATTTTAAATTTCGTACTTATAAACTACGAGCCTGTTTATTCAGCATTTACCGTTGTCATGTAAACTGGTGCATACATACCACCGGATGCTGGAAGACATCCAAAATCATCCCACTAACCAAAAAGACCACCATCAGCAATGGCCTGAGTGACAGGGGCTATTAAATGGGTTTTGGCTGTCCCTCGATCACAATTTAAAAATGGCCCAGGTTTTGTTCACCAAGCAGTTCATGCAGATACATGTCTAAAAGAATGTAATGGTACAGGCTGGAATCAGACTTAGAGCAGGGTTGATGATGGCTGACAGGCTGTAAGCAGGCTTTGAGCAGAACATATGATGGCTGACGGACTAGAAACACGCTTTGAGCAGAATGAATGATGGCTGATATGCTTGCAGCAGGCTTTGAGGTTACTGAATGATGGGTGACGGGCTGGAAGCAGGCTTTGAGCAGACGGGACTGAAGTATAACAAACTTGAAAGATGCAGAAACTGTCCAGATGTGACTAAACTTAGAAGCAGATCAGCATCCAGTTAGGACCGGAAGAATACAGAAACACAGAAACCCATGAAGTCTTGCATATCACTGGGAAAAAACAAAATCTGGATAAGTCATTTTTTCTTAAAATAAATGCATTTGTTCTTGGATTGAGGATGTAAAAGATACATTTTGCCAATGGAACAAGACAATTTACACCTAAAATAAGAAAACACAATTACATTGTCTTATTTCAAGTGCACGTTATCTAATTATCTTGTTTTAAGAGTAAAAAAACTAATTCCATTGGCAAACTGTCTCATTTACCTGCTCAAATTAGGGGTAAATACACTTAATTTAAGAAGATTTTACTTATTTCTAGCTCGTTTTTCCAGTTGCTAGCAACGCTGCCCTGGAGTGATTCATACACGGTCAAGTAGGAGACATTCTGGGGAGGAATAACTGTGAGAGGAAGTTATAAAGTAAATAGGCTGAGTAGCAGCTGAGAGCAATTAGCAGAGCAAGAAGCCTGCCAGCCCCCCGTAAAAACGATCAAACAGGATTCTTTACAGAAGGACAGATGATTTGTGCTTGACCTTAAGGCTACATGATCTAGGCTATTCCCTCTCACTGGGTAGATTCTAAACTACTTGTATAACAGAGTATCTTGGATAAAATTTCAGAAAATGTTTGTATCAGGTAAAAATACCACAATAATGCCACACAAAGTTACCAAATCTGTCATGAAAAGGTACAGATTGAGCCAGTATTCAGGCCAATCAGACGGTGGGAAGTTTTTAATCGTTTAATGACAAAATAAAACAGAACAGAAAAGGAACGCGGGCTGCTGTGGATCAGCGGACCTGCAGGAGCTGCAGGGGGGAAAGCAGAGCACCGCTCATCACTGGCAGACTGGTTCAACTTTTCACTCCATCCTCTCATGAAAGGCAGGATCAGCCGATGGACGGCCAACAAGATGCGGCGCTGAGCTGTCCAGACCGTCCCCAATGTGGCAGCGCCAGAGAGCAGGCAGGAGGCCGATCCAGGTCAGGGAAACGTTCTGAGATCCAGGAGTCCGTAGACCGAACCTGGGGTTCGGATCCAAACAGGAACAGACAGGGATCCACAGAGCGATCAGGCAGATGAATGATAATTAGAGAGCGGGGAGGAGAATGGCAGGTGAATGAAGTGAGTAACCAGATCAGCTACTGTGACGAAATCCACAACCAAAGAGATTAAGGGTGTGCAAAATAGTCGTCATGACGATGCATCACGGTTGTAATTTTTGTGATCTACTGCATCGATTCTTAAAGGCAAGAATTGATTATAAAAAAAATTAAAAAAAGAACAAATAAAATACATGAACGGTTGGCGCACATCAGCCAAAGCAAGCGGAATACAACTTCCAGTCCAGCAGATGTCGCTGTGGATGTGTTGACGCCCGCTGCTTTGCGTCACAAGCATTTCCAGCCGCGGGATACTGTGACGAGTCATTCGTAAACAAAACATGGAGGACATTGAGAAAATTCGCCCCGCGGCTCCATCACATTTCAAGTCAGATGCTTTGATGCATTCTGGCTTTAAAAACAAAGAAGGTAAAAACGAAATTGATATGATGCACGTCATTTGCAAAAGGACCACTGAGGCCATGTAAACGGCACTGATTATCCTTATTTTGTTATTTTAAGTTTGATGAATCCTAAGATCTTTTTGTCAGTGTGTCCACACCAGTAATAGTAATATTTCTGTCCAGTATTTGTTTTCATGGCAACACCTCCAAAAGTCATTTCAATAAATACAGCTATGTATGAATTCAGTTGCTTTCGGTTATGTATCAATTGAAGACACTATCCAGATCATTCCCAGCCAGTCAGCCACTGGTAAGGGCTGTATCCTTTTCTTACAGTGTTCAGTGAAAATATCGCAATGCATCGCAATATTTCAAGTATCAGGATGCATCGTGATAGAATCGCATCGTGGCATGTGAATCGTGATTC